CGATATCGCGGGCTCCTTAGATTGCCAAGGTATGAAGCAGGAGGACCTACTGATCTGGCGGTTCTTGCGCGGGCGGCTCGACCTACCGCTAGCGCGATCATTCGGGTTTCCAAGGTGCGGCTCTTCGGCCAGGTGTTAATGTCAGCCCCCCGGCCTCTCCTGGCTTTGCTTAATGCAGAGTGCGTTGCATCGAACGAGTCCTGGCTTCATACTATTCGCGAGGATCTGATGTGGCTTCTTGCTGCACGCCCGAAGTTTAAAAGAATTTGAGCTACCGAGCGCAGGCATGGAACCATGGATGGCCGAGATACGGAAGTCGCCTGGAGGATGGGAGCGCGCCCTTCGTGCTGCCACTCGGGCGTCTGTGTCTCGACTCCGGCGAGACGTGCAGGCCTCGCAGTGGCAACAGCGAGCACTGACGGTTTTGACAGCTAACGGGTTATCTCCTCGTGGTGACCTTCCTCCCCGCGGGTCATCCAACTGTAGCTGTCATTCCTGACCGCTGGAGTTTGCGGAGGTGCGGTCGCTTGATGCCCGTGTCAAGCGCGAACACTTTACTTACATCGACCTTGCGCGCGCGAGGGTGGATACCCCGTGGTGCGCGTGCTGCCGAAAGGTCTGCGCCAGCCGCTCGCTGCTGCTAAGGTACATCACGGCCTGGAAACCGACATGTCTGTAGGCAACTTGCGCCGCTACCTCAGCAGATTCGCGAGGAGCTAGCTGTAGAGGAGAGGGCCCAGAACCAGGCGCGTCGGCGCCAAAGATATTCGGCCTCGAGAGGCCGCTTCCCGTCTTTTACTGCCCCTGGTCCCCTCCCCCTCGTGGCAGTAGCACTGCAGGCCAGGTATCCTCGAACAGTAGCACACCAGTTTATTTCAGAGATGGTCGAGCAGATCACGGGATGGTCCAGGCAATCTCTTGTGCCCCACGTTTTGGACGAGCCCGAGGTTGCCTGGGACCCCAAACAATCTGAAATCGAGTGGCCGTTTGAGGCCTCAGCTTTCTCTGGTGTGCTGTGCGTCCAAGTTCCGAAGCGCATTTTGCGCCGACAGGTTTTTTGCTGCCAACCTCTTTTGTGGGCAGCGTCGACCTGGAGACGTCCAAGAGGCAACTGAATTGGCCATGACGACCTACACGCCTTCCTTTGAGTTGGTCGTTTTGTCTGTTGACATACTGCTGGATGCCGAGCTCGGCGACCTGAGAAAGAAACAGCTCCATAGAGCGTGTTCCCGCACACATCCGTGCGGGGCGTACCATTGCGCTACGAGGCCCCCCCCCGTGAGACGTTCTGTGCAGCCCGGTGGAGAGAGGGCCCCCCCCTCCTCTCAGGAGCTGGCCAACTCCTTGGGGGGTGACAGAGCTCACCCCCAGACGACAGCTACAGGTTGCCGTTTCTAACGACTTGCTACAGGCCATGTCGAGCTTTTGTGTGCTATGACGATTGCGCAAGGCTGTGCATGGATGGAGCACCCGTCCCCACCGTCTTGGGAGCCTCGCTCTGTACCCTCGTGGAGCCTCCTCCCCCTTAAGGCCCTTATTGCTGCCCCGTGCTCTTCGTTCACCACCTTCGATCAATGTGAGTTTGATCAAAATGGCCGAGCCCCCACTGCCCTTTTAAACACATCCGACTCCCTGATCTCCCAGCACTGTTGCGTAGCACCCCTGGTGGAGGATACTGCTCCCACGGCATGCGTGCTCGTACGGCCATGGTCGGGTGGGCTCCAGTCCTCAGGCGATGGAGGACTGCCCCCAAAAAGGCGCACCCGCCCGAGCTATGAAGCGCTCTAGCCACAGCTACGTGAAGGCTATCCTGCCCCCGTTGTCAAGACAATTGTCTGTCTTGGGGGGTTCCGAAGAAGCCTTAGAGGCTAAAGTTTTGTTGTGTTTCTGTGTTGGCTCCAACAGCATTGCACGAAGTGCTCCTGTCATGGGGCCTGATTTTGCAGTGTTTTCCCCTGCCCCTCGGCCACAGTCACCGCTAGCTCGGATCTCAGCAGCGCTTAGGCCAGAGGGAGGAAGGAGGACGCCTAATGAGGAGGAGTTGGAAGGCACCCACTCAATGGCGATGCAAGGAGTCACGGCTGAGGAGGCGTGGTTCGTCGCCTTTGGAGAGTGCCCCCCCCTCCTCCACGCCTGAATCTGCTCCTCCACCTCCTCCCCCTCCTCTCCCCTTGGACGTTCGTGCGCGTATTGCCGCAAACAGAGCTGAAGCGTTGAAGCGTAGACGGGCCCGCTCCAGAGAACGTAGGCGCGTTCCAATGCAATTGGCAAGTTTGCTCTTCCATCCCGTGCCTGAGCACCCGTCTTGGTGCAGAGTGATTTGCACATATGGCTTACACTTGCGAGTTCCAACTCATATGGGGGGGGTCGTCGAGGTGTTATTCGAGGAAGGGTGGGGATGGAAATTGCCGCTCTGACGCAGTGCTTCCTGCTCCCACCATTCGAGCCGCATCCAGCAGTGTTCGCGGGTGCCGCTCGAGCCTCTGTTCTGCCATGTCTTGTGCACAGGAGGCGCCGTGGCCAACGTACCTTCAAGTGGGGTCCACGGCTTAACGTTACGAGTTGGTTGTTTACCTCACTGGGGGGGGGGGTCGTGCTGCTTTCCATGGATCGACTCAGGTTCGTGCCCCTTCCGAGGCTGGCCATCCGCCTTGACTCCCTCCTCCCCCCTGTCAGAGGCGGCAGCGCGGCGGCGGTCCCGCGCCGCGCCCGCCGCAGACGCGCGGCAGGTCCTGTTCTTCACCCTCCTCCAGAACCTCTATGGCGCTCACGCCGAGGAGGAGGAGGAGGAGGAGGAGGAGGAGGAGGAGGAGGAGGAGGAAGTGGAGGAGGAGGAGGAGGAGGAGGAGGGGACTGGGGTAAATGTCTGTTGTGTCTGACTTAGTTGCCCTTTTGTTGTTTTTTCTCTGCTGCCCCCCCGGTAGCCTTCTCACGAAGAGCGTTCGAGCAATGCCTGACCTGACCTGACCTGACCTCCTCCCTCCTCCCCTTCCTCCCTTTTCCCAGTCCTCGCCTCTGCCTTCATCGTGTCTCTGTTTCGGTACACCCTTCACACGCTTCGCGGCCCCATGGGGGGGCGCCCCACCTAAGGCCCCTGTGACGCAGTTCGCATGGCGCCGCCGCCCAAATTGGGCACACCCCTAGCACGGCTCGTGGCCCCAATCAGAACCCCACCCAAGGTCGCAGTGGCGCAGTTCGCCTGGCGCCGCCGCCCCATTTTGGCACACACTTCACACGTTTCGTGGCCCCATAAGGGAGCTCCACAGAAGGTCCCAAGGGCGCAATTCGCATGGCGCCGCCGCCCCATTTTGGCACACCCCTCCCACGTTTCGTGGCCCCAATAAGGGGCTCCACCCAAGGACGCAGTGGCGCAGTTCGCATGATGCCGCCGCCCCATGTGGGCACACCCCTCACACGTGAGCCCCATAGGGAGCTCCACAGAATGCCCCGATGGCAAAATTCGCACGGCGCCGCCGCCCCATGTTGGCACACCCATCGCACGTTTCGTGGCCCCATGAAAAGCTCCATCCAAGGTCCCAGTGGCGCAGTTCGCGTGGCGCCGCCGCCCCATTTTGGCACACCCCTCAAATGTTTCGTGGCCCCATAGGGAACTCCACCCAAGGTCGCACTGGTGCAGTTCGCATGGCGCCGCCGCCCCATTTTGGCACGCCCCTCAGACGTTTCGTGGCCCCACAGGGAGCTCCACCCAATGTCCCAGAGGCGCAGTTCGCATGGCGCCGCCGCCCCATTTTGGCACACCCCTCACATGTTTCGTGGCCCCATAAGGGGGCTCCACCTCAGATCCCAGTGGAGAAGTTCGCATGGCGCCGCCGCTCCATTTTGGCACACCCTTCACGTTTCATGACCCCAGAGGGAGCTCCACTCGCGCTGCTCCCTCGGCCGACATCGCCCAGGCGTGATCCTGGACCGCGGCCGCCACGAGGTGGGGAACGGCAAGAAGGAGGACGACGACTGGTGGCTGGAGCTCTACGCGCTGCTCTCGCTCGCCGCGCGCCACGAGGACCTCCTGCTCATGCGGGCGCCGTGCATCGAGTTCTTCCTGGCAGGGCCGCTGGGGTGCTTGCGGAAACAGCTGGGGCAGTTAGCCACGTGCACGAAGCGGTGCAGGAGGGAGGCGGCGGCCCTCGCCAGGGAGCTGAGCTTCACCGAGTTTATCCGCGAGGTTTGGCCTGAAGAGCGGCCGCCCAAGCCTCGCCGTCTCTCAACGGTCTGATTGTTTGGCCACGCGCCGCGGGCGACCCGCGCGCGTCGTTGGGACTCTCTCGGGGCGACCAGCTCGCGTCGCGGGGATTCCGCGCTGAGCTCTGCCCCGAGCCGCGCTCGCCCCCGTCGTCGTTCTGCCCAGCGGCCACAGCCTTGCCCGCTATCAGCCATCCCGCTAGCTCTCTGCTCCGCGCAGTGGACGACCCGCGCGCGTCGCTGGGACCCTTCCGGGGCGACCAACGCGCGTCGCGGGGACTCCGCGCGGCGCCGCGCCCGCAGCCTTGGACATGGGCGCGCACGGGCAAAGGGAGAAAAAAGGAACGGGAAAGAAGCGGGTGCGATCCTCGTGAGGAGCGTGCCGACATGGGCGTCGCGGCGTGCGGGCGCTGCTGTCGGAGTTCCAAGGGAAGCTTCCTGCGGCGGCCACGCTCAGTTGCACGATGATTCAAGGTCAGGCATGCGTGGACCATTCCATTCGTATACCTATATACATATATTTGTATACACACCAGGCGAGGCCATGTTCGCACTCATGCACATATACTCACTCGCACGCAGACTCATTCACACTCAGATTCACTCGCGCTCAGACTCATCTGCGCTCAATCTCTCGTAATTCGACCGATCGTCTTCGTTCGTGTTGTGTACCCTGCCACGCAATTCGGCGCACCCCTCATACGGTTCGTGGCCCCATAGGGAGCGTCACCGAAGAAGATATTCACAATTGCGGTATTCACAACTGCATATGGTTGGGTCATTCGCCAGGCTAACTTATTTTTTGGGTACGCGCGTGTGGCGCCGCGAGCGCTTATGGTGAAGCTCCACTGCAGCTTCGGATGCAGAAGCGGCCTGCAAGACAAACCTCGGTCAAAGCCTTGGCGCGACGCTTTGGGTCGCGCCAGCACTCCCTTGCGCGCCCTCGAGCAAGGTGGACCATTGCAAAAGGCACGTGGGGCGAACGCTCAGGGCTCGAGGCGACCCCTGTTTACGCAATGACTGCTACGCTAGGCCTCGTCGCAGGACGGATGAACCGGGCGACTTCCCCCAGTGCACAGTGGAAACTGGCGAATCATCGGACGCCGCGGGTGGAGCACTCAATGCTCGGGGAACAGGGTGGATTGGAGAGGACACGCGTGAGGACACAAGACTCCACCGAAGACCACAGTGCTCGTGGAAAGTCGAGGGCGTTGGCCGCGAAACACAGGACACGAGGGTGCCCTTGCTTGGGCAGGGTCGACCTGCTAATCAAACTCGACTGTACTGCCACCTCTTCAGCGGGGCGCGCGGGCGAGTCAATGGCTCGCCGCGCCGACGCTTCCTGGCCATTTTGGTGCTGGCGCCGCCGCGGGCCACAGTAGGCAGACATGACGAGAAGACTTGGCATGAGAGACAATGTCTGACTTGCTGTGCCTACTGCAACCCCGACTCAAGGCAGCCATGCATCCGCTCCGCCGCCCCCCCCCATGCGGGTTCGGCGGCCGCCGCAAATGGCACCCGGGATTGTGCTGTCGCTCTACTCTGGCCTCAAGGACGGCACACAAGCGCGCTTGCCTGGCGCAGAAGGAATACGCCTTCAGACCAGCTGACACAGGAGAAAAAACCCAATCAATGGATGGTTTGATCGATCTATTGATGTTATCCTCGCGAACCAATGGATCAAACCATCGATATCCTGGCCGGTCCATATATCGATCAAACCATCGATATATCAATCAAACCATCAAACCAAACCAATGGTGGCTGGCTGGGTTCCTGGGCGATCCCCTTAGAAAGAGATCGACCGGGAATCTGGGAACCCGGAACCCACGCGTGGGGAACCAATAACCAGGAACACGGGAGCCCGGAACCGGGAACCCGGGGAGTCCAGCTGGCCACCAAAATCGACGGAAGGCTTTCGCCAAGTCTTTCAATGTCCGCTAGGACCCCTTCAGTGCAAGCACTTATCGGGCAATCAACTGATACCTGTAAGCGTAAACCTGCGCCAGCGGCAGCATTCGCGTAGCAGCGCGCTGGCGTTGGCACGGCGACGGCGACGTCTGCGACGGCGGCTGCTGCGACAGCCCGAGGCCGCCGCGTGGGCAACTGCGTCGGTTTGCCAAAATTCCTCCCTGCTGTCTGTATAAGCCTGGCACAAGGCTGCCTAGGCGATGGGTGCAGGAAAGGAAGAGAAGGAGACCCAAACAGCAATGGGCTTCCAGCGTCTATTCGCTTTTGCCAGCAGGCGCCGCCGCGCCATCGGGCGAGGCTGTCCCCGTGTCAGCCTCGGGCCTACAGGCTCGGGTGCAGCCTCAAGCTGGTTGCCCGCGGCCAGACCCCTGCTGGCCGTCACCGACTGTTTTCGGCGCTCTCCCTCCTCTCCTCGTCCCTCCTCCTCCTCCTCCTCCTCCTCCTCCTCCTCCTCCTCCTCCTCCTCCCCGCTTGTCCTCACTGATGGAGCCGATACGGATACGTTTTCACGGAATGTCGTATCGCATCAGCTGTCCGGCGACACTGCGCTGTGCTAACTTCTTATTCGCCAATGCGCCGTTCGAGCGCAGGGCTTGACTTGACTATGTCACTATGTCTCCGGGAATCTGGGAACCCGGAACCCACGCGTGGGGAACCAATAACCAGGAACACGGGAGCCCGGAACCGGGAACCCGGGGAGTCCAGCTGGCCACCAAAATCGACGGAAGGCTTTCGCCAAGTCTTTCAATGTCCGCTAGGACCCCTTCAGTGCAAGCACTGATCGGGCAATCAACTGATACCTGTAAGCGTAAACCTGCGCCAGCGGCAGCATTCGCGTAGCAGCGCGCTGGCGTTGGCACGGCGACGGCGACGTCTGCGACGGCGGCTGCTGCGACAGCCCGAGGCCGCCGCGTGGGCAACTGCGTCGGTTTGCCAAAATTCCTCCCTGCTGTCTGTATAAGCCTGGCACAAGGCTGCCTAGGCGATGGGTGCAGGAAAGGAAGAGAAGGAGACCCAAACAGCAATGGGCTTCCAGCGTCTATTCGCTTTTGCCAGCAGGCGCCGCCGCGCCATCGGGCGAGGCTGTCCCCGTGTCAGCCTCGGGCCTACAGGCTCGGGTGCAGCCTCAAGCTGGTTGCCCGCGGCCAGACCCCTGCTGGCCGTCACCGACTGTTTTCGGCGCTCTCCCTCCTCTCCTCGTCCCTCCTCCTCCTCCTCCTCCTCCTCCTCCTCCTCCTCCTCCTCCTCCTCCCCGCTTGTCCTCACTGATGGAGCCGATACGGATACGTTTTCACGGAATGTCGTATCGCATCAGCTGTCCGGCGACACTGCGCTGTGCTAACTTCTTATTCGCCAATGCGCCGTTCGAGCGCAGGGCTTGACTTGACTATGTCACTATGTCTGTATAGTCGGCGGTGGACAAACCTCCCTTTAGCAAACCACCCTTTCAGTGACCCTTTAGTGAAAACGGCCCAGGGCCGAAACCAGCAGGCCGGGACCCGCAAGGATGACGGCCGCGACGCCCTCTCGCGAACCGAAAACGGTCAATTCGCTAATCGACGTGTCAGGGTGGGAGGTCCATCAACCTCCGATATACATATCAAACTATCGGAATCAATGAACGTGCACATGTGGTGCGAGGCCACGGAACGGAACCCTCGCAGAAGACGCCGCGGGGAGGCGCCTCCCCGCGGCCCGCGCCGCTGTGGAGCGGTGGACAGCGCGACTGGGCAGGGACGAGGAGGAGGAGGAGGAGGAGGAGGAGGACAGGGAGGAGAGGGAGGAGGAGGAGGAGGCCCACTCGAGGCTGCAAAAAAAAGTCGCTCGCGGGAGGCACGCGCAGCTGCCTTCGCAGGCAGGAGGGGCAGCGGCAGCGGGGGGCGGTGGAGGGGAAGGGAAGGGAAGCTCGGGTTAAGTCGGGCCTGTCCTCCTACAGGGGATTTTGACGAAAAATTAGAATTAAGGGTGATCGAAGAATGACCCCAAATGGTCAAACAAAATACGCACGAAGAATCGTCCTCAGACTATTTTTTGACTCCGTTTGAGCATTCCTCCTGTAGAGAGGGACGCGCCCGACTGAAAGCTCAGAAGGAGGAGTGGGAAAAGGAAAAGGGCCCAAAGTGGTCAAAAAATACGCACGAATAATCGTCCTCGGACTATTTTTTGACTCCGTTTGAGCATTCCTCCTGTAGAGAGGGACGCGCCCGACTGAAAGCTCAGAAGGAGGAGTGGGAAAAGGAAAAGGGCCCAAAGTGGTCAAAAAATACGCACGAAGAATCGTCCTCGGACTATTCTTTAACTATGTTTGAGCATTCCTCCTGTAGAGAGGGACGCGCCCGACTCAAAGCTCAGAAGGAGGAGTGGGGAAAGGAAAAGGAGGGGCCCCCGCCTCGGGAGGCGCAGGGCAGAGGTTTGTGCTGCGCACGGCGCCAGCACAGGTGTGCGCCACAGGGCACAGGCAGGCCTGGTAGCTAATCTCACCTCCACTCCTCCTCGCCCCTTACCCAGAAGCAGACAAATCACGAAAGCATCAACTTTTGGCGCTCCGCGCGGAGCGCCAGAAGTTCAGGCTTACGTGCTTTTTTGTGCTGCTCCTATTCTCCCCTCCGTTTGCGTGCCCTGGTGCTGGGGCGCCGTTCAAGCAGCGACTGCGCCTGCCTGCCCAGCGGCACCGCAGCGAGAGACTGCATGGGGCCCGGCGTGCGTCGCGTCGGGCAGCGCCCCCGCCCCTGGCTCCTGGAGCTCATCGGAAGACACGCACGCCCACGGCAGCCGCCGAACGCTAAGAAGGCCTCGCACTGATATCGCATGCGCTCTGGCCCTCCAAAGGCACACAGCACAAGTACAAAAATGCCCCTCTGGCCACCCGGGTGCGTCGTCGGGGCAATTTGTCACTGTCTCCTTCGGACGCGACCCATACAGGCCGCTGGTGGCGCGCCTAGGACACATCGGAGTCGTCGGAGATCCGGGTGAGTGGGCCGGCATCGCGGAACCCCAGGCTCACGAGGCCGGGCAGCAGGATGGAGCCTCCTGTCCAGGGGGCTGCGCTCGCGTGGCTCTTCGCACCGCGCCTGCCCGCGCGCCTCCCGCGCCTGGCGCCGGAGCGGGCGGTGTCGCTGCGCTGCGCCGCGTCCGCCGTCGTGGAGCCCGAGCTCAGCTGGCCCGCCGAGTGCGGGTGCTCCTGGCAGACGACCTGGGAGAGGACGTGTGAGCTCGAGACGTCGGTGGAGCTCTCGCTGTGGAGGTCCGCCTCCTCGTCGTGGCAGCCAGGCCCCGGCGCCCCCGGGCCCTCGGGGCGCGGCGCCCGCGCCGCGGAGGGTGGTCGGGCCTGCAGCTCCTGCGTGGGGCAGAGCCCGGGCAGCAGCAGGCCCTGCAGGGCGGCGGGGCAGCCCAGATCTTCGGACAGGTCGGCCCAGCTGGCCTCGCGCGCCTCGCGCGCCCCCGAGGGCCTCTCCCGCCGCGGTGACGCCTTCCATCGGCCGTCTTCTCGCCCCAGGCGCCCGCCGGCGTACGTGCAGAGGGCGGAGGCCAGCGGGCTCTCCCCGACGAGGTCCCTCTCGCAGGCTCCGCGGTCGACGGCCTCGAGGGCGCCGCGCATCAGGGAGCCCTCCCCTGGTCGGCCCGAGAGACTGCAGCCGCCCTCCGCGTTCGAGGCCGGGCCGCTCGACTCGTCTCCCGCAGACGCCGCCAGCGCCGCGGCGCCGCGGGCGCTGGGCGCGGGGCGCCTCCGCTGCCGCTTGAGGGGAGGCACCCGCTTGGTCGGCGGCGGAAACACTGCGCGTGCCCCGCCGGCAAACACGATGGGCTTGCAGTCGTCGGGCATGGCGTCATGCATCACTGGGCTGTTCCTGTAGCGATCGACGTGGGCCTGATATCCCTGCGACCAGCTCCAGCCCACCGCCGCCTCGCACTCGCAGGGTACCTGCCAGGAGGAGAACCCATCGAAAACCGTCTTGAAGTGAGCGGCGTGCTCTGGCCCTGTGAGATTCACGAACGCGAATCCGAATGTCGTGCCGGAGCCGAACTCGAGCGGCAAGTAGACAAAGTCATACTTTCCTGCAAAGCCATGTGCGTCAAGCAGCTCCAGCAGGAACGCCCGAGAATAGTTGGGCGGCAGGTTGCGAATTACCACAGTGGTGCGATCTCCTCCGCCTTCATCACCGAAGTCGCAGTCGATGGCGCCGTTGTCCAGTTTGCCATGTCCCGATATTGTGAAAGCGCTGTCAAAATCCTCAAGCGCCTGCTCGGTGGTCACTGCTGCCGGCGCGGAACGGTTGCGCCGATTGGTGTCCTTGTGGTCCTCGGTGGCCTCGGAGATCACCTCGATGAATGTGTTCTGCACCAAGACCCTCCTGGTGCTGCCATCCCAGCTGGCCCCGAGCTGCTCCGGGATGGCGGTTCCGACGTGTGCTGTGCTTGGCCCTGGCAACGAGAGGGGCGATCCAAACATGGCGGCGAAGGATTGTGCCGCTGCCGCGGGGTAGGACTTAGGGCGAAGAATTTCTCGAGAGCCTCCCGCAACTGGCAGTCCCGACTGACAACCGCGAGCAGCCTCGAGCCACTCTTACTTGAGCCAAAATGGCTACGGAAGTGGTTTCAAGGATCTTGGGGCTCGTTGGCATCCAAGATGGAGTCATGTGGGCCAAATTGGCTTCGGATGGCCTCCAGCATGCGTCGAAGAGGTCCCACGACGTCCCCAAGACGGTTCGAAGCGGCCATGCCTACTCACTCACTCACAAAATCCATGTCGCACGACACATCGGCTCGGCAGGGGTACATGCTCGCCGCGCAGGGAGGGCGGCAGTCAGAGATTACAACTAAGCACTTCTACGGCCCATGGAAAGATCAGAGATGTATACATGTAGTTCCCAGACGGCCTGTGGTGTTGGGTCCTTGTTTTGAAATGATGGTCCCCGCGTCTCCTGCTCTCCTCCCGTCACCCCCCGTTCCTCCTCCTCCTCCTCCTCCTCCTCCTCCTCCTCCTCTCCTCCTCCTCCCTCCTCCTCCTCCTCCTCCTCCTCCTCCCTCCTCCTCCTCCTCCTCCTCCTCCTCCCTCCTCCTCCTCTCCTCCTCCCTCCTCCTCTCCTCCTCCTCCTCCCTCCTCCCTCCTCCTCCCCCTCACCGGTCCTCCTCCTCCTGCTCCTCGTCCTCCTCCTCCTCCCGACCCCTCCCTCACTTTGGCACACCTCTCGCACGTTTCGTGGCCACGCAGGGAGCTCCACCGAAGGCCCCAGTGGCTGCGCCCGCATGCCGCAACCCCCTCGCGCTAGCACACCTCTCGCACGTTTCGTGGCCCCATTGGGAGCTCCAAGCTAAGGCCCCAGTGGCTGCGCCCGCATGCCACCACCCCCCTCACGTTGGCACACCTCTCACACGCTTCGTGGCTACCCAGGGAGCTCCACCTACGGCCCCAGTGGCTGCGCCCGCATGCCGCCACCTCCTCATTTTGGAACATCGATCACACGTTTCGTGGTCCCACTGGGAGTCCCACCTAGGGACCCAATGGCTGCGCCCGCATGCCGCCACCCCCTCATTTGGCACACCCCTCACACGTTCCGTGACCCCACAAGGAGCAGGGAGCTCCAACCTACGGCCCAAATGGCTGCGCCCGCATGCCGCAGCCCACTCAGTTTGGCACACCTCTCACACGTTTCGTGACCCCACAGGGAGCTACACCTAAGGCCCCAATGGCTGCGCCCGCATGCAGCCCCACCACTCATTTTGGCAATCCCCTCACACGTTTCGTGACCCCACACAGAGCTCCACCTAAGGCCCCAATGGCTGCGCCCACATGCCGCCCCCCCTCATTTTGGCACACCTCTCACACGCTTCGTGGCCCCATAGGGAGCTCCACCTACGGCCCCAGTGGCTGCGCCCGCATGCCGCCATCCTCTCATTTTGGCACACCCCTCACGTTGCGGGACAACGAGGACAGCGCCAATAAGGTCGACAACGAAACGGTGGGAGGACGAACTACACGACTACATCCGACAGCGGATTATGACCACGCGCACGAACGACGGTTTGAGTGACGCCATGAACTATATTACGTGGATCCACGTAGCATCCGACACAACCACCTGGATGAGCATGGAGTCCGACTTCATCTCATCGACGGGAGCCCAGCACCCGAACAAAACGACCAAGACACCTGCCAACACGACACCATCCGACACCGTCGCCGGAACCAACTCCAGAATGGAAGCACGCTAGTGCTCTGGCCTTAGCTTTCTCCAGCAACGTGTACGCATGAGAGTGCGAATGCGAGTGCGAAAACACACGCTTCGTGGCCCCACTGGGAGCTCCACCTAAGAACCCCAGTGGCTCCGCCCGCATGCCGCACCCCACTCACTTTGGCACACATCTCGCACGTTTCGTGGCCCCATTGGGAGCTCCAAGCTAAGGCACCAGTGGCTACGCCCGCATGCCACCACCACCCTCACTTTGGCACACCTCTCGCACGTTTCGTGGCCACGCAGGGAGCTCCACCTACGGCCCCAGTGGCTGCGCCCGCATGCCGCCACCCCCTCTCTTTGGCACACCCCTCGCACGCGTCGTGGCCCCATAGGGAGCTAAACGAAAGGCCCCAATGGCTGCGCCCGCATGCCGCCACCTCCCTCACTTTGGCACACCTCTCACACGCTTCGTGGCCCCATAGGGGGCTCCACCTACGGCCCCAGCGGCTGCGCCCGCATGCCGCCACCCTCCTCTTTTTGGCACACCCCGCACCTCTTTGCACACATTTCGCGGCTCCGTCGGGAATTTCACCGATGGCGGTTCTCACAACTGCAGTACCCAGAACTGCATATGTTTGGGTCCTTCGCTTAGATGATTACCAACCGTCCTGTGATGTTGGGTCCTCGTTTTGAAGAAACAGCGCCCCGCGTTCTCCGCCCGCCTCTTTCCACCCTCCTCCTCCGACTTCCATCATCACCATCATCCCATCATCCTCATCCATTCGCCCCCCATCGATTTCGGCTGACCCCTCACACGCTTCGTGGCCCCGTAGGGAGCTCCACCGAAGGTCGCAATGGCGGAACTCGCGCGCGGTTCCCCTACCCAATACAGAGCTTCGTGGCCCCATAAGGAGCTCCACCGGCAGCCGCAGTGGCTGCACTCGCATGCGTCTCCCCCGCCCAGTACAGCGATTCTTGGCGCCATAGGGAACTCCACTGAAGGCCCCACTGGCTGCACTCGCATGAATGTCCTCCACCCAATATAGCATGTCGTGGCCCCGTAAGAAGTTCCACCGAAGGTCCAGTGGCGGAAGTCGCATGTGGTTCCCTTCGTGGCCACAAGTGGAGCTCCACTGAAGGCCCCAGCGGCGGAACTCGCATGCGGTTCCCCCACCCAGTACAGCGCTTCGTGTCGCTACACGGAGCTCCACCGAAAACCCCATTGGCCGAACTCCATGCGGTTTCCCCATCAAGTACAACGCTTCGTGGCCTCATAGGGAGCTCCACCGAAGGCCCCCGTGGCTGCACTCGCATGCGGTTCCCCAACGCAGTACACTGCATGCATCGTGGCCCCATAGGGAACTCTACCGAAGGCCCCAGTGGCGGAGCTCGCATGCGCTTCCCCATCCCTATCCAGCGCTTCGTGGCCCCATACAGACCTCCACCGACGGCCGCAGTGGCTGCATTCGCATGCTGGCTACACTCGCGGGCGTCTCCCCCGCCCAGCACGGCGATCCGTGGCCCCTATTGAGCTCCACCGCAGGCCCGTGGCGGAACTCGCATGCGCCCCCCACGCCCAGTTCAGCGCTTTGTGGTCCCAGAAGGTGCTTCACGGAACGTCCCAGCTTCCCCCCTTGCTTTCAGTTGGGTACACCGTTCGCGCACACCGTGGCTTCAATGGAAGCTCCACCGAAGGCCTGGATGGCGACGCGCTGCTCTCACGCGCAACGCGCCACGATGACCTCCCGTTCATGCGGGCGCCGCGCATCGAGTTCTTCTTGGCAGGGCCGCCAGAGGGCTTGCGGAAGCAGCTGTAGCAGCTTGCGGCGCGCACGAAGCAGTGTAGGAGGGAGGCGATGGCCCTCGTCAGGAAGCTGGGCCTCGCCGGGTTTATTCGCGAGGCTTGACCTGAGTAGCGGCCCGTCCGAATCGCGCCTTCTCTCGCCAAAGGTTTGGCCTTGTGCCGCGGACGACCCGCGCGCGTCGCTGGAACCCTCTCGGGGGACCAGCGCGCGTCGCGGGAACTCCGCGCTGCGCTCTGCCCAATGCCTCGCTCGCTCGTCGTCGCTCTGCTCAGCGGCCAGAGCCGGGCCCGCTATTAGCCAGCAAGCTAGCTCTTTTTGCTCCGCGCTGCGGACGACCCGCGCGCGTCGCTGGGTCCCCTGTGGGGAGACTGGCGCGCGTCGCGGGGATTCCGCGGTGCGCTGCGCCCGTCGCCTTGAACATTGGCGTGCGCGGGCAAGCAGGGAACAAACAAAAAGGAAGGAAGCGGCATCCACATAGACTCACTCGCGCGCGGACTCACTCACAGTCAGACTCACTCGCGCTCAACCTCTCGTACTCAGACCTTTCGTCTTCGCTCGTGTTGTGTACCCCGCCGCACATGTCGGCGCGCCCCTTCACACGGTTCGTGGCCCCATGGGGGCGGCCGCCGAAGACGATATTCTCCTTTGCGAGATTCAAAACTGCAGATGGTTAGGTCCTTCGCCAGGCTAATGGACTTTTTCCCCAACCATCTTGTGTTGTTGGGTCCTCGCTTTGAAGAAACAGCACCCCGCGTCTCTCTCTCTCCGGTCCTCCTTCCTCCCGCTCCTCCCCCTCCTCCCCCTCCTCCTCCTCCTCCTCCTCCTCCTCCTCCTCCTCGTCCTTCTCCTCGTCCTCCTCCCGTTACCCCCCTCACTTTGGCACACCCGTCAGTCGCTTCGTGGCCCCATAGGGAGGTACACCTAAGGTCCGCATGCCGCCACCACCTCATTGTGGCATACCCCACACACGCTTCGTGGCCCAACAGAGAGCTGCACCTAAGACCCCAGTGGCTGCGCCCGCATGCCGACCCCATCCTCATTTCGGCACACCCATCACACGCTTCGTGACTCCATTGGGAGCTGCACCTAAGGCCCTAGTGGTTGCGCCCGCATGCCGCCCCCCCCCTTGTGGCACACCCCTCACACGATTCCCTAGGGAGCTACATCTAAGGCCCCAGCGGCTGCGCCCGCATGCCGCCACCCCCTCATTTTGGTACACCCCTCACAAGTTTCGTGGTCCCCACAGGGAGCTCCACCTAAGGCCCCAATGGCTGCGCCCGCATGCCGCCACCCCGCTCACTTTGGCACACTCCTCGCACGCTGCGTGGCACCATAGGGAGCTACACCTAAGGCCCCAGTGGTTGCGCCCGCATGCCGCCACCCCCCTCACTTTGGCACACCCTCAAGCGTTCCGTGGCCCCACCTAAGGCCTCAGTGGCTGCGCCCGCATGCAGCCCCGCCCCTCACTTTGGCACACCCCTCACCTCTCTTGACGTATTTCGCGGCTCCGTTAGGAGCTCCACCGATGGCGGTTCTTACACAGGCGATTTGGCAAATCCCCGCCTGGTTCGGGCCATAACGCGGGACTCTAGCGGCCGTTCGGGACGATCCGGGCGCCCCCGGAACTCCTTCGGCGAGGCGCAGCTAACTACCTGAACGCATCCCGAGGTTGGAAAACTACAGAGAACCGACGACAATGTCCGAGCACTTAGCTTTGCCCCCGACTCTACTCGCCCTCTTGCCCGATGGAG